CGCTCGGGGCCCCGCGGAGCCCCGGCAGGATCCAGTGCTCCCCTTCACTGCGGGGGATCCGGCGCTGCCAGGGGCCTGAGGAGCCCCGGCGCCACGAGGGGACCCGGCCAACCCCGGGGCTGTGGGGCACACAGTGAGCTTCTGTGCCGCCCGGGCCCCTGACGGCTCCCACCGCCGGCGTGGGATGAGCAGCGCAGCCTTCCCGCAAGTGGGGCTGCTCCGGGACAAGCACAGCCCCCTGGGACAGGCAGACACCAATGTGCTGGACACCCCTGTCCCCAGCTGAGAGGGCAGTGCTGGGATGCCTAACCAGCACCGGGCCGAGGGCTGCACCGGCCAGACGAGCCCCACGCATGCAGCTGTGCCAGAGAGGAGCCGAGCATCGTCCTGAGAGCCCACGGGGCCATGGGGGCGCCGAGCGCGGAGGGAAGGACTGCAGCACAGCGATGCAGGGCAGGGGTGGGGGGGGCTGGCCAGGTGGGCGCCGCACCCCAGCCTGGGCTTTCACATCCGACGTTCACGCAAAGATCAGCCCAACCATTCCCTGCCAGGGCATGCCAAAAGCTCCCTGCCGGCTGGCCCACGCCTCCCTCCCAGGCGGCCCGGCAGCAGAGCTCGCTCTGGCAGGTTTCTCTTCAGCACCCTGTGGAGGCTGCCAGGCCTCTTGCTCAGTGCTGGCATTTGCCTTTTTTGCACCTAGCTTGGCCCTGAGCTGGGCCCCAGCAGAAAGCATCCCTCACCCTGCCTCGAGAGCAGCTGCGGAGGGCAGGTTCTCACTGCTCCCCGGCACAGGCAGCTCCTACTGCACCACTCACAGCCTTCCTCCAGTGCAGACCCCGGCGAGGCTGGGCCCCCTCCTGCCTCCTCCAATGCCCTCCCACCAGCACTTCCCCCTGATGACGGGAACCAGCTCTCCTGTGGTCCCCCAGGGCAGGGACCGTCCTGAGCTCATGGCAAGAACAGGGCAAGACAGGCCCCAAAGCCCAGCTGGCGCAAGCTCTTCAGTGTCAAAGAGGGGCGGGCACTGTACCACAGCTGCACCAGGCTCCACAGGTGCTGGCTGAGAGGGGCCAGGCCTGGCACTGTGGGCACCCATGGGCTCTGTGGCTCCAGCAGTGCCAAAAGGGACGCGAGCTCTCACCTGGCTGGCAGCAGCTTCAGCAGAGGGGGTGCGCTCGGCTCGGTGGTCTGGGGTGTGCCCTGGCAGGGGTCTCTCCACAGGAGAGTTCCTCCGGCGGTAGAAGAGGACGTATGCGTATCTGGTTACCACCTGGCCCTCATCCACGGTGGTGACTGTGCTGTCATCGAAGAGCCGCCAGCCTGAGAGGAGAGAAGGGTTAAGCAAGCAGACAGGACATGGCTGCTGGAGCTGGGGGGGCAGCGAGGGTGGCAGATCCTCACCCACGTCGCTGCGCTGGCTGTTCTTGTCATTGGGCAGGCGGGCGTACGCTGTGTAGTGCCCCCCGATCATGCCTCCGTAGTGGTTTATCACAGCGTACAGGTCATACATGGGCAGTTGCTGTTCGCCCTTCCGGCCGATGCAGAACTTGCTCAGGTCCAGGCTCCTGGGGAGAGACACAGGGGCAGTCAGTGTTAGGCAGGGAGAGGCCGGGCTGCAGGGAAGTACAGGCAGTGCCAACCCAGGCATTTCATCTCCCAGGCTCTCACCGGACGGGGAAGTCCACCATGTCATTGATCTTGTCCCTCCAAATAAAGCTGCGGAAGGAGAAGCGCTTGAGCTGGATGATGAGGACGTTGGGCAGCCGCCACAGCATCAGCTGCTTAGAGGCCTCACGGTGCTGCTTGCACTTGGGGCAGTACCTGGGGGAAGAGTGTGCTCATTACCGGCCTGGGGAGAGCCTCAGGTCTCACAGCCCAGCCCAGCCCAGCCCTGAGGTCCCCGTGTGGGGCTGGCAGAGGGGATGCAGGCGGTCTCAGCCTCCCCTGCCGGGGCAGGCCAGCACAATCCCACCAAGCACTGGCATTGCTCCCTGCTGGCTTAGGGCCTCCCTCCCCAGTGCACAGGGAAAGCCAACCCCAACACTCCTGGCTGCCAGAAGAAACAGTGTGCAGGCCCAGGCAGCTCCTGGGAAACCCCCGGTGCTGCCTGGGCCCACAGGCTGGAACCCACCCTGCCGCCTTCCTCACCACGCTTCCTCTGGGGCCAGGACTTCGGGCTTGGTGAAGAGATTGAGGCACTGCTCCAGGGTGAAGTGGCCAGCCCGGGCTGCTTCACTGGCTGAGCCTGGGTCCTCCACGCACTCCAGCTCCTTGGACTCCACCAACACAAACTCCTTGAGGCGCTCATTGTTCTTCCAGACCAGGGCGAGGGAGCAGTCGTCTGTCAGTTCCAGTGGGATGTCACCTGCGAAGGGGCACACACCTCACACACCTGCCCCACCAGGCTGGGCCAGGCCACCTTGCCAGGACTAGGAGCAGTCTTTCCCATCCCAGCTCTATAAGGCAATCACACAGTGCTGCTGAATGGACAAGTGCCCCACAGCCAGGTTTGCCACCCCAGGGCAGCAGAGCCCCCCAGCCAGGGTGCAAGGCTGGCACAGTCCCTCTCTGCAGCAGCTGCATAACCAGCACTGGATGCAGGCATCTCATACAAGCAAGAGGTGACTCGGGATCACAGACCCTCTGTGGATGCAGGAGGTTGAAGGGAATTGGTCTATTTGATGAGGAGAGCAGGAACATCAAGCCCAAAAAGAGCTTCCAGGCAGCAGCTCGGTGCAGCAGAGCCCTGCCCTCCCCTGTGCCAGATGCAGCTTTCACCATCCAGCCTAGGACCACAGTCACATCTGGGTTCACCTTGTGCCAGGCAGCCGCTGGCATCCTGGCCAGGCAGAGCAACCACCCTGCCAGAGGCCGCGAGGGATGAAGGTGGCACTTCTCAGGGCTCTGGGCTCACCTTTATCTTCCAGCTTGTGCTCTCGGTTGGCAGCGTCGATCTTGTTGATGTAGAATTGTGTGGCACGGGCACTCAGCGAGTCCGGAGTGTGTTGGTACCCAGGGATGGCAGCTGTGGACAGGCATGGACAGATCCACGGTGGCACTGCCTGTCTGCCCTGCGTAGGGGCCAAGAATTTGCGGTGCCCCCACCCCCACCTCACATGCTACGGCCTTGCAGGGACACAACCACGTGCCCCGTGTCCTTGACTATTTTTAGCAGGCGCCTGCCCCTGGCAAGCTGCGCTCCTCTGCCTGCCTTGCCCCTTCGCTGCACATTGCTGCCATCCTGAGACGAGTGTCTGGAAACGTGACAGCCAGGCAGCCGAGCGCGAGAGGCTGCTCCCGTGCAGCTGAGTCAGAGAGGAAAACGCTGCACTCACAGCCCCGAGGGGCTCAGCCCGTGCCGGGCTCTGCTCTCCCACGGGACTTGGAGGCTTCTGCCAGCCCCTGCCTTCTCAGCCCTCCCACAACAACACAACACCCCAGCCTCTTTCCTCATCAGGTCTTTGCTCTGCCCCACGGGCCCTGCCAGGGCAAGGCAGAGCGTGGGCAGGCAGGCATTTCAGGTGGGGCAGCACTGCCAAAACACAGCTCCCAGGGCCCCACGTATGTCCCCAAGGGTCTCCAGACCAAGCTCACAAGGGGAGAACAGATGCTGTGGCAGGAGGTCACCCCAAGGAGAAGAATCGCTCATTTTGTCTTGGGGTTGCCCAGGCTCCTGGCAGAGACACGGTCAGCACCGCAGCACTCTTACCTTCTGGCTTGAGGGCTCTCTCATAGGATGGCTCCTTCTCGCAACAGCTGTCACCCTGCGACTCCATGTGCTCAGAGAAACCTGAATCCAAGCTCAGGAGGGAACTCCGGGCTGCCAGGACCTTGCTCCGGACAGTGCTGGTGTCCCCCAGCTCCGGATGCAGCTCAGGCACAGCTGGCGAGAGTGGGGGCTCCTGCAGGAGGCTGGAAGCCCTGTCCCCGTCCCCCAGCTCAGGGGCAGAGGTGGCTGCTGCACAGCTGCTCTTGGCCAGGGGCTCCAGCTTGTCTGGCAGCAGAGGCTGCAGTCCCTGCTCCGGCGACATCCGGCCCAGCTGGAATGGAGGCTGGAACACGCTGACTGAGTACCTGGCCAAGGAGGTGGCAGTCAGAGCTGGACATGCACTGTGCTGAGCTCAGCTCCAGCACAGAAGCACCTGCCTTCCCTAGATCCTCACCTTGCATAACCCTCCAGCAGCTGGGCCAGGCGGGTGTAGGTGAGGCGGGACTCCGGCACGCTGATGAGGAAGGGGAAACCGATGTTCTCGGGGCGGCACAAAGCCTTGTGGTCTGGCCAGTGTGTTTTCTGACATGCCCTGTAACACATACAGCCCCCGCTGAACCCAGCATCTGTGACCACCCTGGGCAGGGGCATAGCAGGGCTGGAGGGATGCACTGGGGACGAGGGGAGCACTGCAAGCCAGACTGGCTCCCTCCCAAAGCCCAAACACATCCCACCTCCTCCCAGTGGGCTGAGCTCTCCCATCCATCCCTTCAAGGCAGAAGACTCTCCCTCCCTGCCAGGCACCAAGCCAACTCACACATTGCAGTAACCGACTCGATAGCACCTCGTGCAGCGCCTGAGCTTTTCATCCTCTGGCAGCTGCTTCTTCTGGCAGGCCGCACACTTGGCGACGGGGCCGCTGGGCACCTGTGGACGCTGCAGGAGAAAGGACCCATTGGGCAGGGAAGGGCACCCAGGCAAGACAAGGCAGGCTCAGCAGGTGCCCGTGCTTGCTGCAACGAGTCATCCTTGTGCGCAGCTCTCCCCCTCCTGCTTGGCCCCACTTGCAGGCTCAGCCTCCCTGCGGTGCCAATGTTTCCTCTTACCTGCTGGACCTGCAACTCCACCACCCGCTCCTTGGCCAGCTCTGGGGACAGCACCTCAAAGCAGAGCAGCAGGTCTGTGGGGGAGACTGTGTCCAGCGAGTTGGATGGCAGGAACATGCGGTGGAAGCGACTTTTGATAACCTGCCAGGAAAGCAGTGGAGAGGGGCTGTGTGAGGGCTGCCCCACGCTTCCCCTCCTGAGAAAGCCACAGACCTCTGCCCCACAGGGATGCTGGGCTCAGCTCATTGCCCTGCCAGGGGACGATGGACATCCCTTGCCCCACTATGGTGGCCCAGCCCTCCCAAAAAGGAATTTGCCCAGCAGTACACCATACAGGACACTGCCACCCATGGACAAAATCTGCCCCATGGACATGCTGGATATGGGGAAGCAACTGCCAGTGGCCACATTCCTTGCAGAGCTGCAGGAGCTGGGGCACCTGCAGGAGCAGCCTGTGGCTTGCTCCCCAGCTTGAGCACTCTCACCTCTGCAAGGCGCAGGTTCTCTGGTTTCACACGCACGCTATGGGCCACTGAGTCAAGTACCTCCATCGCACTGGAGTTCTCCTTGCTGATACTCACAAGAAACTGCCATGAAGAAAGTGCCTTATCAGTCACACCACACCAACATGCGTGAGCCCTTGCTTAACACAAGGCTTAGCCTGTTAGCACAGGACCAGTTGCCTGGGGCACCTCCAGCAGCCCTCCCAGGCTACTTTCCTAGAGTAGATGATGGTGTCCTTTACCTTGATGGGTTTCTTGTGTGGCTCCTTTGCAAAGTAGTAGACAGTCAGCACCTTCTGCTTCTGCGGGAGGGGTACAGGGAGGTACAGGAAGGGGTCGAAGGTGATGGACACCTGCAGACATGAGAGTATCCTCAGTTGCGGGAAGCGCTTGTGACTGAGATCAGTGGGGCAACAGCCTCAGCGGACCAAAGATCCAGCCCTGTCCTGTGCCCTCTGAGGGTCAGGAGCCTGCTGCACAGCCAGGACAGGGACAGAGCCTCCAGAGCTGTCCTACCTTGGAACACACTGGGCACACCAGCTTGGATTTGTACTGGCCCTGGAAGAGGTCCACAATGAAAGAGTCGTTCCTCATCTTGTGTCGCTGCCAGGCCTCCTCAGCTACAACCTGCGGGGAGACAGGGCTCAGCACTACACTAAACCACCCAGGCCAGGGCTGCTCTCCCAGTGGCTTTGGGGAGGGACAACCTCACCTCGTCAGGCCTCCCATCTGAGTCAACAGTTTCTGTGTAGGGCTTGTTCTGGATCCGGTTGAGGTCCTCGTGCAAGCCATCAAGCAGGAAGGCCATGAACTCCTGAGCGTCATGCTGGGCATAGCCAGTGAACTGGCTGGCCTTGCTGGCCACGATTGCCTGGGGGGAGCACAGTAGTCAGGGCTGGCCAGCAGCACCCCCCCGGCAGCACTGCCTGTCCTACGAACAAAGCCTGGCCACACCCACCCACACCCACCTAGCTCTCAGCAGCACTAGCAGGGCAGAGCCCACAGAGGGGTGCTCAGGACCCACAGCAGCTCTTGTGTAGTGCTGGTGCCTGCAGCCCTACCTTCAGTTTAGAGGGCTGGAAGGCATGGTGTGTGCCCTTCCACAGCGCTCGCAGCAGCATGGCAAAGCCAATGGCCAGGCGTCCCCCGGTCCCCAGCGGGTTGTTGTAGTTGATTTCCGACTCAAAGGACCGATCTGTAAGAGACACAGGGGAGCGAGAGTGGTCACTGGCTGCACTGTCTGAGCAGCAGGGCTCTGCTGGGTTCCCAGCATGCACTCACCGTGGAAGTAGTCGCGCAGCTCCCGGGTGTTGGACAGGGACTGGATAACGCTGTTCATGAAGCAGGTGTTGCCCAGGTTCACCAGCCCCGTGAAGCCAGGCAGGCACACTTTCTTCTTCTCATCCTCATCTTCATCGTCCTCCACGCTCTCAGTGCTCACTGGGCTATGTGTCATTGGTGGCACCATGCATGTTGGTTTGGGCTGCCAAAGGAGAGGTGGGTGTAAAGGTGCTGAGCTTGGGGGGGTCTCTCTGGAAACACCGGGGGAACCCAACTGCCCAAGGCACCCCTCAGACATGGCTGGGCTCGAGCCACCACACCATCTCCCACCACACACGCCAACCGCTGCCCCCGGTCCCGCCAGCTATGACTGAGGAGCCCTGCCTGCTCCTCCAGGAACAGTTTGCCGGTCCCCAAAAGACCACCAAGGAGGTGGAGTCCCACAAGAGGGACAAGTGGATCCCTCTTTCCCCCCCGCCCAGGTCAAACCCGGTGCGGCCCCACTCACTGAGGGGATGTGTGGCTCTTGCTTCACTGCCACGTGCTCTGGGGCTGTACGGGCTGCCACACCATCCAGCCCCCCATCTTCCAC